TGGCTTATTGATCCCAGCATCTCTGTTGCCAGGGCACATAAATGGACGTGTTCATGTAGATGGTAAAGGAACAGAGGGCAAGAGCAGGGCACGGAGATGGGTAGGTGCTAAGGGTGTCCAGGGTAGAGGGTGCTGGAAGGTAGGGTGGGGCCTAATTACAGAAGGAGCCAAAGGCTAGGGGGAGGATTTGACCCCATCTGGCATGGAGCCATTGCAAAGCCTTATGCTAGCGAGAATTTTATGCAGGAACTAGAATTTGGGAGAAGAATAGGAACAGAGAGATGGGACTGATTTAGAGATTGAACAGAGGAAAAGTGTCAACTTTGAGTCAGACACTTCTGGGCCTCTTAACCTGGGCTTAGTCACTTTCTGACTCTGAAAATTGGCCGTGAACACACCAGGCCCAACTGCCCCCCAGGGAAGCTGGGATTTACCTGAGAAGGTGTCTGAGGGAAGGGCTAGATGTAAGGGGCTGGGGGTCGTGGGGGGGGAGGGGCAAGGACCAGGAAAGGGGCAGGGAGATGATGGAAGGCATTACCTCCCACCCAGGCCTTGGTCAGCAGGGAAGGGCTGGGAAACAGGGCAGCAGAGTGCCTCAGTGTCCCCTCCCCCCAAGCCCGCCCACCCCCAGGCTTTACTCTGGGTCAGTTGGAGCCTGAAGTGGCTTTTAAGCAATTAGACTGAGCGCTGGGCACTTGCAAAATCTAATTGTTTCAACAGCCCTTGAAGGACTAGAGTCTGAGCTCTTCAAATGCCAGAGAAGAGGGAAACCAATGGTGGTGGAGGTAGGAGGCCCCGCTTCTCTGTGCCTCCCGCCATTTCTCTGTGTTCTTGGGCTGGGGGCAGGGCCAGTTGGGGGTGAAGTGTCCCCCTCCCAGAGTCTGAGGGTTTGTGGCCCCTCCCCTGCACTCCTTCAGGTCTGCAGGGAACTGTCCGATTAAACTGAGCGCCCTCCTGGCAGAGCTGGTGAGAACTGGGGCTATGGATAGGCAGACTCCTACCAGCACGGAAAAGGGTCCCTCCCCACCTCAGAAAGCAGGTCAGCAGCCTCGCTGTCACACCAGCTCAGGACTGAATGCTCAAGGATAAAAAAAAAAAAAAAGGCCTTGACCTCGGGGAGCCCTCTGGTTTGGTGACAGAGAAGAGATCTGCTCCAGCTGAACAGAAATTCAGGGAAGTTGATCCTAAGAGAGGGTAAAAGCACTTGCGAACCTGGAAGTGGTGGGAGTGGGCCCAGAACTGGACGCGATAACTGGGGAACAGCGCCTCCCAGAGGAGGTGGTGTCTGAGCTGAGACTGAAGGGAGGTAGGGTCTTGCAGGTCAAGTTTGAAAGGAGGACACTTTATGAGCTCAGAGAATGCACCTGGACCCAAAGCAGCCCAAGGGAGGGTGGAGGACCCAAGGACCCTCCTCCTCCATGCTCAGACTCAATTTTCTTGTCTGGAAAATGGGCTACCAGCCTAGCTCAGTGGGTTCCACTTGAGATCTCCTAAGCTTTGGAGTTCCACGGGGAAGGTTTGGCCACTTCAGGGGACAGTGGAGAGAAAAGAGTGGGCAGAGTCCAGTTCCCCACCTTCAACTGGAAGGTGCATCTTCTTTTAGCCATCTTATATTTTGGATTTCAGTGTAAATTAAATTTATCAGAAGGCTGTACTCTCTGTAAACTATTGGCCTAGATGACACATGGAGCCCTTCCAACCCTGAGCTCAGGGTCTTCCCTGCTGAGAAGGACAAGGAGTAAAACATGTCCAGAGCCCTGATGGCCAGTGGCCCCTTTGGAAATTCTACCCCAAGTTATGATGTCCTCCCTGGGTCCCTGCCCAGCTGCCTTCAAGACGTCAGACCCTCAACCAGACTGGATGCGTCCTGGTGGGTTGGTAGGTGAAGGTCAGTCATTGAGCACCTCCCTGGGCTGCTAGATCACTTGCCTGGCAGGCACAAGGCCCTGGGTTTGATCACCAGAACCACAAAAAACCAAAGTCCTCCTTTTGGCAAAGTCCCCAAACTTTTTTCAAAAGGATAAACTCCCTTTCCTTTCATCAAAGGTACAAATAAAGAAAGGCTGGGACTGCAGGTGAGTCTTCATGCAGTCACAGGGTGGGGGTGTCATTAGCTACAAGGCCCTCGGCTTGGATAGCAGCCCACTAAAGCACTTGGGGATGTCCTGGTGAGGCCTTTGTGAAGGGACAGGGGCTGTCCAGGAATGCTAAAGGAATCATCCAGTAAATCCAAGAATGAATGGAGAAAGAGGCTTTGCCAAGATGCACTTTCCCCTTGAAAGGGTCACTTTAGACGCTGTTATCCGTCATGTTTACCTTGGTGTGAATGAAGTATCTTACAACAAGAGTTGCCAGGAGGAAGAAAGGTTTTGGAAACCGGATGTTGCTATATAAAGGAAAAATAATACATAAAGAAAGTCGATGACTGCAAGACACTCACCCAGGTGGCTCTGTCTCCGCCTGGGCTACCTTGCCGCCCCACCTTCCCTCACCCAGCCTCCTCCCCACACTCTCTCTTCTTTCCTGGCTGGAAGCACACCCCAGATCAGGGCCCAGGTGCTGAAAGGTGCTTTCAGGGAGAGGGGAAAGGTATTTGGCTCCCAGCTGGAGGACCTGCGGAAGACGGTGTCAGTCAGTGCCATCTCGAGGGGTGTGGCCCTGTGAGGGTAAACACAGAGGAGGGGAGTGGCTTCCGGCCTCAGCTCTGGGCAGCCAGAGGAGTGGAAATTCCTACCTGGCCTGCTGCTCCCTTCCCCACCTGCCACGGCAGCAATTTCACAAACAAACAAGGCAGAGGCGGAAGTCAGTGGAGTCTTTACAATAACATCTACCCCTGCCCAGTGCCTCTGACCTTGGAAGCTCCGAGGACAGGCCACAGCTCCAGCTTCAGCACCTAAGACCCCAGGACAGCCCCACACTGTCCTGCATCCCCTCCCTGGTCCTGTGCTCCCCTGGGGACAGCTTCCACCTACAGAAGCCCATGCAGGTTTCAAATAAACAGACAAAACTCCCATTGCACAGGCTGAGAAGGCAGGTGTGGGCTTAGAACAGGTCACTTCACCATTTGCCATTCCAGGGTCTTCTTCAGTGGACAAAAGATGTGAAGAGAGTCTGAGAAATATAAAGTGCCTCAAGGGTCAGGAAGAAGTATCAGGCCATTTACTGTGGGTTCAAATCTTGCCTCCACCTCCCACTAGGTTTTGGGCAAGTTCCAGAGGTCTTGGTGCCTTACATTTATTTAGTTATTTATTTATTTTTGGTACCAGGGATTGAACCCAGGGGTGCTTAACCACTGAGCTACATCCTCAGCCCTCTTTAAATTTTATTTAGAGACAGGGTCTCAGTGAGTTGCTAGGGCCTCACTAAATTGCTTAGGCTGGCTTTGAACTTTCGATCCTCCTGCCTCAGCCTCCGGAGCCACTGAGATTACAAGCGAGGGCCACTGCACCTGGCTGGTGCCTTCCATTCTCATGGGAGGTGCTCCTTGACTGATCTTGAAGTTTCGGGAGGTAGGTTAACTGAGATAATATATGCAAAATCATGCAACTCAGGCCCACAGCTGGTGGGGGTTAGTTCCCTGTCACTGATTTCATTGAACCTGACATTGTAAGAGGCACCATTATTTTACATTCCACTAAGAAAGAACTAATGCTCTCCATGGGCTGGGAGACTCCTTGGTCTTGGTGGACTACCAGGTCACTGGGAAGACGGGGACAGAAAGACACCTCTCCACAGCAGCGAGACCACATTCGGATGCATTTTAGAATCCCATGTCCAGGCTGCTTCTCAATGAAGCCCAAATTTCTCGGGTATGGCCCAGGTATCTCCCTGTGCCTTGGTTTCCCCAAATGCATCCATAATTACAGGTTGTCCTTCTGGGGGCCCATTGTATTTAATGTGTTAATTCGTGTAAGTGATTGCACACAAGGCCACAGAAATGCTGAAAAAAATGTTAACAATTACTCATCTCTGTACCCCCAGGTGCTGGCACACACTAGATGCTTCCTGAATGGTGGCCGAAGGGAGGAATAGAGATGTAGACATTATCATGTGACTGCTCCCCACCCCCCCACAGCCCCACCCCGTGCGGCTGGGAGAGGCCCACTCTGGCCTCAGCCAGGGGGGGTGGAAGCCCAAGAACAGTCACCTGCCCAAGGGCCTTCTGTCCAAAGTCCACGGGGGCCCCACCCCTCCCTGCCACTGAGGGTGGGCGCTGCCACACCCGGGCCTGCCAGGGCCTCCTGGAGTCAGTGACAAGAACCAAACCTCCCCCAACTTCTACCCCTCCCCTTTCCTGCTTTTATTATTTTCTTTTCCATAAAGATTAGTCTGAGCTGCTCCTCTATCAAGGCCCAGAGGATAAACATGTGGTCCGGAGGCAGAGAAACCCCAGGCCCGAAGGCCCCGCTGCCCCCTCCCCAGCAGCATAAACCCAGGGCTTTTAAGTAAGGAATGGTTTTCAGTAAATCTCTCCTATCAGCAGAAACCTTTGAAAGAGTTTGTTTAAAGGCCAGGGAGATAAACAGCAAGGAGAAGTGTTTGTTTAAGATGTATGTTCTGTGTGGCCACTCTGGGGCCCGGATTTACATCTGTGGGGAGGGGAGCCACTCAGAGCCCAGGGCAGGGGCCTCCCAGGGGTGCCCCAGACTCCTGGGTATGGACTTCAGCCCAGGCAGGGACCTGGGTCCTCAGGGGAGGGAGGAGCTAGACTGCACCTGTGGGTCCCCCTTGGACTTGGGGGCAGGAAAGGGGGAGCTGCAGAAGGGAAGGAGCCCTTCTCACCCTGTACAGGAGGGAAGAGGACCTGCTGGTCAGAATGCAGGCAGAAATCCCACAGGAAGCCAGTCCCCTTCTCCCACATATTGAAAGTTCAGAACAGGCCTGGGTCCCCCCACCAAAAAAAAAAAAAACAGGCTCATTCTCAGCAACCCAAAATGCACCGTGGTTTGCATTTAGGTATTGAGAGCTCTGTGACCTTGGAGGAGCCATCTAACCCAGGGCTAGAGCTCCAGTTCTTCTCTGTTGTGAAAATACCACTCACCTCACAGGGCTTCAGGTTTCTCCTTCCAACTGACAAATGTGGACTGGGCACCTACTTAAGGCCCAGGACTGTTCTAGGCGCCTGGGATTCAACCACAAACAAAGCAGTCTCTGCCCTTTGGAGACTTAAAGGGAGACAGACAACGAACCTAACAGAAAGAAACTTCTCACTGTGGTCAACCTGACCCATGGAAGGAATCTGGGCAGGGCGTGAGGCTTTGGAAGGAGGACTGGGGTGGCTTCCCTGAGAAGGTGGTATTTGAAAGAGATGTGGATGTATGAGGAAGAGGGGCCTGGGTAGAACTGCAGCCAGGGCAAAGCCTGGAGGACTGGATCAAACACCAAACAGCAAGCAGGTACACAGCCCTGGAGCAGGGTCCTGCGGTCAGTAAGTAAACACTAGTGCTGTGGTTGTCCCTGAAGCAGCCCCGGAAGGCTGTAATGGGCAGGGGAACCATGGGGAGGAGCAGGACTTATACAAGGTTTTTCCTGGAATTCCTTTCCCATTGAGTAGCAAAAAAGAAGGAAGCTTTGGAGATGAGGAGAGAGGAGACTGAGGACCAAGTTCATTTCACAAATGCAACGGTGCCCCACGGGTCTAAGAGCAAAGGCACCTGGATTCCCAAGGAAAGTCCTCTGCCTGGGTCAGGAATCTGAGCTTCCACCATGGCTCTGCCTGGTTTTTCTTTCCTCTCCACTAAGTAAGATTAACCCATCCTCCTCTTCCCAGGTGGTTGAGACGGATGAAAGGAGGTATGCTGGATGCTCAGTAAGTGCTGTGCCTGACCAGGAGCCCTCCCTCATCCTTCTAGGACCCTTTTTGGCTCTTCCTTGGGCGGTGAAGCTGGATGGATAACCAGGTCCTAGAATTAGAGGGGAAGATGCAGGACAGTTGAGCTGTCTTCAGGCAGCTGAAGAACCATCTCACATTCATTCCTGAGTCTCCACAAGGAAGGTAAGAATTTTAGGGAAACAGGATTTTGCAAAAAAAAAAGTCCAGGAGAAATTTCCTGTGATCGGTATTTAACGGTGGAATGGACCTCTCTTTATTTTTTTCCCTTTGGTACTGGAGATTGAAACCAGAGGTGCTCTCAGATGTACCATTGAGCTACATCCCTAGTCCTTTCAAGAAAAAAATTTTTTTGAGACAGGGTAAATTGCTACATTGCCCAGGCTGGCCTAGAACTTGTGATCCTCCTGCCTCGGCCTCCCATGTCACGTGGCTGGATGGTCCTCTTTTGGGGTGCTGAGCTCCTGTGTTGGGTGGAGGTGTAGCAGAGGTTGGGGTGACCTGTTCTGGGAGCCATCAGGACACCCCCATTTCCAGAGCCCCTTCAAGCTCTGAGATTTAGGGTATACCATCACTCCTTCCTGGGCTTCAAAGTCCATGGATATTTTCTCCATTAGTTCAGGTAAAATTCACCTGGCCTGTGTCCTTAGTGTCCTGCTGTGTGACAGGCCAGTATGTCTGAAAGATAAGTCTGGGCTATATTTGGAATGGTCACAGATTAGCATGTTAGCCCTGCCAGGCACCTAGGTGCAGGTTAACAGGGTCTCAGATGTTCACTCAAAGGTACAAAGAGTGATGAGAATTTCCAGCACTGTGGGAAGGGCCAAGGGACAGATGTGTTTGGGAAAACATGCCCGAGGAGTTTATCAAATAGTTCCTAGTACCCTCCAACCCTATCTAGAATAAGATTGACTTTAGCAAAGATCACAAGTCATGGCTCCAAGATTTAAAGGGCTGGAGAGCCACCTCGGCCACTCCTCACCAACCCGATGAAGTGCCAGGGGATCTCTGGGTAGCTTCCCCCTGCCCCGGGACACTGTGCCAAGGAGAACCCATGTGCTTGGCAGCTGTAAGCCAGCCCTTTTCTTTTCAAAGCTTCTGTATCTCCTTTCCCTCCTCCCCCTTCCTTCCCGCCTCCCCCCTCCCAAAATAAAGGAGGATGCCCCTTCTGTTGAGCACACAGCCTGTAATTTTGCTGTCAAATCTCAGCCAGGAGGTCAGTGTTGTGACTGACTGTGTAAGGATCGCTCCCTTAAGGGTAATTACACTAAATTCCCCTCTGAAGGACAGCTCTCTCTGGATAGAATACAAGAAAACCCCGCATCCCCATTCACGGAAATTCATGATTTCTGCGGCTGTCACTGGCACGAGAGAGACACTTCAAGGCGCTCCGACTACTTGAAGTGAGGCTGCAGGGTGGTAGCCATGGCAGGACCCCGGCCACAGGAGTGGGTGGCCCAGCAGACCCAGGTTCTGAGGAGCATGGATCCCAGGCGCTGGAGCAGGAACTGAGCTCCTCTCGGGGTACCTCCCTCCACCTGAGCTGGCCATGCCCCTAATTGGGAAAGTAAGAAGGTCCATCCTCCGACATGCAGCCCAGGAGAGGAAACCCCTTAGCCCTTGCTCATTCCTTTGTCTAACAGGTTGGCGCTGAGCATCTATTGCCTGCCCTCCACTATACCCAAGATGGGGCAGCAGGATCTGACACGGGGCAGTGGTCCCCTCTGGAAAGAGCTGGAAAATTCTTAAGCCAAACAAAGCACTTCCCATGTGAAAGGTGAATTCACATCCAAGTTCCCCCACCATCCCCAGCCCCCATCAGACAGGCAACATCTTGACCCTTGTCTCCTTCTGCCCTGAGGCCCCAAGGATGGCAGAAGTGGCAGTGACCTTGCAGGTCTAGCACCCCGGTACTTCCATTCTCCCTATCCAGGGAGACCTCAGCAGGAGTTGGGGAGTCACTCACCCACAACAAACAGTTAAAAGGAAGAAAGCGGGTCTGGCGATATCAATGCACTTTGATAACAATAAACTCTGCTTTTAATTTATGCTAATGTGTAGGGCTGTGGTGACAGTAAGAACTAAATTACAGAGTGGCTTTCGAGCCGGTAATTATCCCTCCATTTTTCGCTGCTCTGGAAGATGGACACACAATTATGCTCTCTTGCTGTATATTAATACAGATTCTTGACATCTTCAGCAGACCTGGAGCTGTCATCGAGCTTTTTGTCTCCTTTAATTGAAAATTAATGGTTACTGGGTTGCCACGGAAACAGAGGCCACGGACGCCAATGGCGCTCACGTCTCACCAAGGGACTGGCGGCGGCAGAGTCCGGAATGACCTTGAAAGTTAAAAGAAAAAAAAAAACTTAAAAAAGAAGGGGAGAGGAGAGGAGGACAGGAGGGTGGGAGAGTGTGGGTCAGAGCTGAGAGACAGAAAGGAGAAGGAGAGGAGAGGGGGAAGAAGAGAGAATTCCAGGAGGTTGGGAGCATGCATACTTGAGGAGAGGAAATTAAAATAGTAAGTTTTCTTCTTGCCACCCCCTGCCCCCTTTTAAAGACTGGGAGTAAGATCTCAAGCTCCAAAATCTGTGATTCTACTCATGTGTACTAGTAAGAATAACAGCGTTTGCCTAGAGTCCCCAGGAGGAAGGACAAAGGCGCCTGGATGCCATGGGAGGTGGCCCCAGACAGAGGCAGGGCTGGGGGTGCCATGGGGAACCTCCAAGGACCAAGAGGTCTGTGCTGTCAGAAATGGCAGCTGGAGAGGGGGCTGCTGCATGGGGCTCTGTGGGGTCCGGAGGGGGAGGGTCCCAGCAGGGGAAGCAAGGTTTGGTTTGCCCAGGAAGATAAGAGATGAAAAGAAGAGTGGCTCACTGAGCCTCCCGGATGACAGCGGCTCTAGACTGGGAATGTTTTTTTAAGGGAAAGAATGGTGCGCCCAGCAAAGAGGCAGTGGGGACGCCCACACGCTTAAGAAAGAGAAGTGGGCTTCTTCCTAATCTGCCTGGAGCATAAGCTCCTGAGGAGCAATTCAATCCAATAATTATGGGACGCCTGCTGTGAACCAGGGTAAGCGAGACCTGAAGTTCATAAAAATGAACCTGCCTAGAAAGGACGGAACTCGGGGTTGAGGATAGACATGTAAATGAATGATCGCAAAGTTAGTTGCTCTCTCAAAGGTTTCTCCTACTAGGATGTTCGCTACAGTGTTGTTTAAAATAGCAAAAAATCTAGAAATAGCCTCTATAGCCAATAAAAAGAGGATTCATAAAATGACATGTTTTTAAAAGAGGTTTCCAAAAGCTGTAGCAGGGTCCTGGCATCTTGGATTATGTTAAGAAGATAATCCTGAGACGCAGGAGGCTGAGGCCAGAGGATTGTGAGATCAAGGCCAACCTAGGCAATTTAGCAAGACCCTGTCTCAAAATAATTTTTTTTTTTTTTGGATACTGGAGATTGAACTCAGGAGTGCTTTACCACTGAGCCATATCCCCAGCCCCTTTTTATATTTTATTTAGAGACAGGGTCTCAGGCTGGATGTGGTGGTATATACCTGTAATCTCAGTGGCTCCAGAGGCTGAGACAGGAGGATCACAAGTTCAAAGCCAGCCTCAGCAACAGTGAGGTGCTAAGCAACTCAGTGAGACCCTCTCTCTAAATAAAATACAAAATAGGGCTAGGGGTGTGGCTCAGTGGTTGAGTGTTCCTAAATTCAATCCTCAGTACCAAAAAAAAAAAAAAAAAAAAAAAAAAGAAAGAAAAAGAAAAAGAGACAGGGTCTCACTGAGTTGCTTAGGGCTTTGCTAAATTGCTGAGGCTAGTTTTTATCCTCCTGCTTCAGCCTCCTGAGCCACTGGGATTACAGGCATGTACCACTGCACACAGCTCAAAATAAAACTTTTAAAGGCCTGGGAATGGTAGTTCAAGGGTAGAGCCATTCTAGGTTCAATCCCCAGTACCCCCTACCTCCACACCCCCCAAAAAGGATTATGTTGAGAAGAATATTTAATGGTCTGAGAGGAAGTTCTTGAGTATTATTTAATGAAAAAAAATTGTTTACAAAATTGTGATATGTTCATTCCTCCATGATCAGATTTCTAAAATGTTCATGATACATGTACATTAAGCATATTCTGCTGCAATAAAGTTACATATATAAGCATGAGCATATGTGTGAGGGTGAACTTGAAAAAAAAAACAGCAGAAAAAGGAAAATCTTACCAGGTTTATCTCTGAGTGATCAGATTAGGGCTGATCTTTCTTTCCTTAGACTTTTCTATATCTTCCAAATTTTCTGTAATAAATACACGTGGCTGATTAACAGGGAAAAAAAGAAGAGGTGTTTTTAAAATTAGCTTCTCTAGAAATCAGTCCTCCGGAGATAAAAAATTCCTAGCAAGATACTCCCTGCACATTTCTGCAGAGACTGGACCCCTGTGCAGGATTTTCCCACCAAAAAAAAAAAAACAAAAAAAAACAGACTCAAAGACCCTTCTCCAAAGACCCTTCTCCTAGAACCCCATCCTAGGCCCTCAGCCTCCCCAGACCCTCTCCCCATCCCAACCCATTGGCCAGTATGTCTGGAGAAGGGTGGGGAGTTGAGGACCCCAGGAAGGGCTGCAGGTAGACAGGTAAGCAGACCATGGGGCCTAGACGGGGGAGACGCCTGGTTCCTGGGTTAACCTTTCAGGTAGTGCTGCTACCTTCAGCCGCATACTCACACTTGGTATAGACCACCAGCTCCTTGAGGGCCAGGTAAGGGGCACATTCATTAGGACCTGGTACCTGGCTAGAACTCAATAACCACCAAATTGAAGATCAGCCTTGGGCGTGTATTAAGTAACTGCCCAACACTGCAAATCCAAGGTGGATATTATTATTCCATTTCACAGATTGGGCAACTGAATCCAAAAGGGCAAATTGACTTGCTCCAACAGCTGTGGATGGTAGAGCTACAACCCAACCCCAGGGACTCTCTGCCTCCAGGTTTGTACTCTCTATACCTGCCCCTTCCTCACCAGGTCCAGAGAGCCCAGGTGCAACTAGAGTCTGAATTGCAAGGATTTCTGGAATAAGCCCCATTTGGGGAAGGGAACTTTGAAAACCAGTGTCTTATCATGGTCTTTGCATCTCAACTGGCCCTTGGAAGAGCTAGGAGAGAGTAGTCATGATACCTCTAGTTAGAGCAGGAACTTTGGAGAAATACAGGCTGGGGGTGGGGCTCCTTGGGAATGCACCCTCTCCACCTCTCATCAGATGCAGGCTTAAATCACACTTGGTAAACAAGAGTGCTGTCCTTCACCCCTACTCTACTCCCCCACCCCTGCCAAGTTTTAGCCACCAAAGTTAGATTTCCACCCTCCCTTCCTCCAGGAAGACTTCAAGCAATTGACTTCTGGTTGCCATGATTCTTCCTTCCCTCTGTCCCTATGATAATACACCAGCCTATGGCACATGACCTCTGTGGCCGGCTCTACTCCATGCAGTTTCATGTGTTCACTCCCTTCCTCTGCTCACCAACCTTATAAGAAGATGCTATAGTCTTATCCAAGGCACAGAAAGGCTAGCCACCTTGCCCAAGGTAACACAGCAAGTCAATGACAGAACCAAAATTCCAGCCCACACAGACTGAAACCAGAAGCCAAGACATTCTTTACCATGACACCATGCAAGGGTTTGAGGTCTCACTAGAATTTGCTGCATTGGATGACCTAGAAATCAGTAGCCCATTTGATTGGGTTCCTGTGACATTTCAGTGAGAAGGCAGGTTGGTACAGGGCCTTGCCCTACAACAGGGATCTTGCATTTGCAGACAGGTGGAAACAGGCTCCTCCCCTTTCTGATGGTGTATGGCACCCACTTCATTGGTGTGGAGTGCCTCATGGTGAGGTCAATTCTATTCTCACTGATCCCACCACCCACACTCAGGACCTGGGGATAGGGGACCAGGGGAGATGACTGGGAGCCCCGCTGTCCAAGAGACTAGCCACCTGATGGGGACAGCATATGAGAAGGTTCCAGGTAAAGGCACCTGTGCTTCTGCCCCGCCCCTAGCTGGGCCTTGGGACGCAGAGCACAAGGGCTCCCTGCCCTTGTCCACCTCTCCCCTGTCCTTCCCCCACTCCTGCCTGGCCCCTGCCTGCTTCCCTCCCCACCCACTTTCCCAGAGCAAGAACAAACAAGAAGACAAACCCAGCAGCACAGTCAGCTTCGGAGGTGGCAGCGAGGGATGCGGGGAACTTGCCTTCATTTCCCCGGCTTCCCTGATCCCGACCTTAATCCCCGCTCAGCATCCTGTCAGCCGGGTTGTTCTCAAGCTGACATTGCTGCAGGCGCCTTCTCGGCAGCCTTTCCTCAGATCTGCCTCCTCCGGGGACTTCTAAAGAGGAGCCCGAGGTTTCTCTGTTACAGCCGGCTTCACTCACTGCCCTCGAGCAAAGCCTGGGCTCCCTGGGGGCCGCAGGGAGAGGGGGCTGCGGGGGGCAGTGCCAGGTCTGACGTTTCAGAGGAAGAGGGAGGATGGAGGTGGCTGAACCCAGAAGCTTCCAGAGTGAGGGTCAGGCATGGGGCAGGGGCCCAGCCAGCACTGTCTCTTCAAAGCAGGGAGGGGCTTGCTCAGGTGTGCGAGCCTGAGAGACAGAGGGGAAACTGAGGCTGGATCCCAGGGAACTCCCGCTATTGGCACCAGTGCTGGGGAAGTGCTGGCTGTGAGGGTCTTTGAATTTCTCAGCCTGCAGAGATCGCAGCTCAGGATGTGTTTGGAGAAAGAGGCATCTGGGGCTTGCAAGGAGCCTACATGAAAGAAAACTTGTATGTCCACATTGTGGGTGGACTTCTGAACACCTGCTGGGTGCTAGGGGAGACACAGGAAAGGCAGCCAGTCACTTGGTTTTTCTGAGCCCCTTTTCTCTCCTCTGTGAGGCTGGTAGGGTCAGGACAGCAGCTTCCTTGCAGGGTCAGTGTGAAGGTTAGAGACAGACAAGGTGTGCAGAACACCTGGGCTCTGTCCACAGGGACACAAGAGTCTGGAGCTCTGTCAGGGTTTTCGTGAATGGGATTCTGTGCAGGGGGTACACAAGAGCATGAGGAAGTGCAGGCCAGTGTCCATGGGGGTCTGCACGAAGTCCCTGTGAAGCTGCTGTGAGTCCCTGTTTGAATCATGTTTAGCCCGTAGCCTGAACTAATGTCCAGACTTTGGCTGTTGCCATTGGCCCTTCTCCCTCCCACTAGCTCATGCCATCCCCAACCTGCCAAAGGAACAGGGGTGCAGGAGGCTCTTGGACATGCAGGTGGGGTGCTCCTTAAGCTGGCTCACATGGCCCTGCCCTCCTGGGACCTCCTCAGATCCACGAGTACTCTAGGGATTGAATCCAAAGGTGGTCCCCAAGACCCCCAATGCTCAGCTCCCTGGGAGAGAGCTCAAGGTGTGTGCTGGGTGGGCTTTGCAAGAGTCCACAGGGACCCAAACCACAGAGATGCTGGGGAGCAGCAGAGAGGTTGCCTCCCCACCAACCTCTCCATTCCACAGAGTGGCAGAGAGGGAGTCCTGGGGAAAGAGCTGAAAAGCAGGATCTCAGAATCCCAAAGGGGCTCCTGCTTGTGGCAGTAAACAGAGTGCTGAGTGCTGGGAGGGATGGGGCACGCCTGTAACCTTAGCTACTCAGGAGGCTGAGACAGGAGGATCACACGTTCCAAGCCAGCCTGGGCTACTTAGCGAGACTCTGTCTCAAAATAAAAAATAATAATAATAATAATAATAAAAAGGACTGGGGATGTAGCTTGGTGGTAAAGCACCCTGAGTTCAATTACTGGGGAGTACCAAAAAAAATTAAAACACCAGCTTTTCCCGTTGCCAAGACTTGCATAGTGGGGTGGCCTTATAAAAGTCACTAACACAGGCTGGGGCTGGGACTGGGGCTCAGGGGTAGAGCGCTTGACTAGCATGTGTAAGGCACTGGGTTTGATCCTCAGCACCACATAAAAATAAACAAATAAAATAAAGGCTTTCTGGGGCTGGGGATGTGGCTCAAGCGGTAGCGCGCTCGCCTGGCATGCGTGCGGCCCGGGTTCGATCCTCAGCACCACATACAAACAAAGATGTTGTGTCCGCCAAAAACTAAAAAATAAATTTTAAAAATTCTTTCTCTCTCTCCCTCCCTCTCTCACTCTATCTTTAAAAATAAAAATAAAAAAAATAAAGGCTTTCTGTCCATCTACAAATACAAAAAAAATTTTTTTAAGTCACTAAACCTCTCTGAGCTTTGTGTTCTCATTACTAAACCAGGGATAACATTGTCATCAGTGTTACAATGTGGCAAACATCAAGCAACATGTGTGAAGTCCTGGCACATCCCAGGCACAGAGCAAATGCTTTAAGATACACAGAACCCCCCCTGTTGTCTCTCTGATGAGGTACGCATGCCTGCGAGCATTACTTGGTAATAAGAAATAGAATGTGTTTGAGTGTTTTAGATTCCAGAAATGGGTACGAATGGCAAAAATTAAAAAGCAGCCAGGTAAAAATGGTACCTACAAGGTGCTGACAAATTCTATTTCCTTCCCTCCCTTCTTCCTTCTAAACCAGTTTTATCCTTCTTCTGATCAGACTGCTTCCACACTGAGGGAAGTCAAATGCCCTTCTGATCAGCTTCTGTGATGGATGTGCCTCTATCTCAGCTTATGTGTGGTGATGTTGGCGGGTGGAAGTGAGTGGTGTGGGGGGGCTGCCTCCAGGGCCCACTTAGGACACTGTTGTCTCCAAGTCTTTGGGAAATGACCAGTCCCAGAACTCCCAATTCCCAGGAACTTGTTCACCAGGATGATTATCCTAGACACCCACCCTGGGAGAGGGAGCCTGGGGATCAGCCTCTGAGAAGCTCTCTCTGTATCTGACATGCATTAAACTTGAAAAGGATCTTCTTGGGCTTTGTCTCTTTTGCACTAGACCAGTGCTATCAGCTCTTAAATTAATGTTAAAAGTCCTTGTCTTGGGAATGTGGCTGTTCCTTCCCCAATCCAGGAGATCCCTGTGGGATACCCCTGCAGAAGCTGCTGAGCCACTGAGCAGGATTCTGCCCCTGCCCCTGTTACCCCTCCCCAACAGTTGGTAGGAGTTGGGGCTCCCAGTTCCATTTTCCACAGTGGAATCTGCAGAAAACGGGTAGTTTCTGGTACTTCTGGGTTCCCCCAGCAGTGGCCTGGGGGAACAGTGGGGCTCCGTGTCAAATGAAGATATCATCTTCCTGCCCGTTCATAGACAAACCCAAGAGAGAGTACAATTCCTCCAAATGCCCCAAAGCTTTCCTGCCCTGGGGGTGGTAAGCAGAGGAGCTTTCTGTCACTTCCTCCTTCCCTGGTTTGTTATGCAGGATGCTCCACTCAGTATTTGGGGAGTGGGCAGGAAGCACCTCTCAGATTTCTAATGTCCCCCATTCCCCCCATTCTATCCCCTACACCCTTATAACCCACTCCCACCAGCCTTAGCATGAGTGACGCTGGACCCTCACCAGGGAGGTGTCCCTGGAGGAGGGAGGCAGCGGTTATGTGAGGGTTCTGGAGGCTGAGGCCTGAGTCCTGGCTTCCCATCAAGCAGCTGAGCAGCCCACGGCCAGCCCCCCTCACCACCCGTCACCTCACCTGAGAAGCAGCCAGTAAATGTCCTGAGGCTTCAGAGACCACAGATGGAAGAGTGGTCCGTGAGCACGAGGAGTGGATTTTGTTTTAATTCTTATTTTATAGAACGGATCCTTCTGCATCCTCTCCCCCGTAACAGGTGCAGGCTACCTAGGAAGCCCCTTGTCCAACTGCCTCCTCTCAGGGAGTCCTAGCTTCAAGCTGTCTGGCTCTTAAAACAAGCCCATCTGTTTGGGAGGATTCAGAGGCAGCTGGGAGGGGCCCCAGCCATCCCAGTTCCTTCCAAATTGGTCGAGTGGGAGAACCCCGTTCTTTGGCCGCCTCCAGCCATGATGTCTGCCCCCGGGGGTGTCAGGGGAGGCGGCACCAGAGGAGGAGGACGCTGGGAGCCCAGATCCCGAAACTCCCATGGGCGTGAGACCAGAAACCCAAACCCTGGCCCCCCTACCCCACCCCTCAAGCCACCGTCCGGAAAAAATAAACTATTTCCTGCAACCAGCTCTGAAACAAAGTCTGTGAGTGCGCTGTGACACATGTTACATAAATAGAAGCCGCAGAGGGGAAAAGCCTGTTTTCTCTTTCATTATTTATCACTCTCTAACCATCTCCAGCTGGGTGAGTAAACAGGCGCATTGGCCCATAATGAGGAACAGACTGCTGCCGTGGGGCTGCCGAGGGGCGTGTGCGAGTGTGACAGAGTGTCTGTCTGTCTGTCTGCCCCTGAGATGGGAGAGTGGGAGTCTGTGAAGGAGGAAGGCTTGTGGGGGGGCACCCCATTCCAGAGGGCTAGGAGACCTTCCTGGGGTGGCCCAGCTGGGCCCAGGGTGAGGGTGGGTTGGGGGATCTGTTTGCTGGAGGAGGAGTCAGGGAGGAGAGAGTGTGTGGGTGGGAGGGGATGTGAGACTGAGCCAAGTGTGAGACTGCAAATGTGCAGGGCTGTGAGCATGACCTCCCCGGGGTGGCCTCTGAGTGTGGCCACAGGGACGCAGGGGGCGGGGAGCCTAGGGGCTCATGCAGGGCTGTGTGTAAGACTAGGAGACTTTGGGATTGGGCGTGGGTGATCCTGGTAGCATCTCTGGGTAAGTGTGAGCTTGTGCTTATGGGAATGTGGAAGTTTGTAGATGGGCATCACTGTGGGAATACTGTATTGTGCATGTGAGGTTTCATGACCAATTTAACCACAGGGTTGAATTTCATTCCCTCCCCCAAAAATTTTTTTAAAAAATGAAGTCCTATTGCCCAGCACCTCAGAATACAATCTTATTTGGGAAAAGGAACAAGCAGATGTCATTGGTTAGGAGTTGGTACTGCAGTAGTGTGGCCCAGATACAGGAGGACTGGTGTGCTTATAAGACGTCCTTAAGCGCCTGGGGCTGTGGCGCACGACTGTAATCCCAGCTACTGGAGAGGCTGAGGCAGGAGGGTCGAAGGATCGAGGCCAGCCTGGCCAACTTAGCAAAACACTGTCTCAAAGTGAAAAAAGAAAAGAAAAAAAAATGTTCATGTGAAGACACAGAGGTGACTAGAGAACACTGGGAAAGATTGGAAGCCAAGGAGCCCCTGGGGCTACCGGAAGCTGGAAGAGAAAAGATCCTCCCCTACAGGTCTCAAGAGAAACCTTGAACTTGAAT